TGAGCAAATAACTGAATTACAATTTTTTTTATCTTTGAAAAGAGAATAAACAGAGAAGTATCTACTCTCTCTAGCTGGTCAGTACTCGGGTCCATAGCAATATTTGGGTCCACTGAGTTTGGTTGTGTCTGAGGCTAAGTGCTGCAAACCCAACTTATCAGCTGGAAACCCCCAAAGCCCTCGGACAATACAGAGAAACCAGGACATGTCTGTCCACAGGCCACTTTGATCCAGTTATATTCTGGACCCACTTGCACGTTTACAGGTGGGCAGAGGGTCTTGCAAATCACTCAGGCGTGAGATTTGACTACTTCCTTTGCAGGAAAAATTTGCCTCTGTAAACTCATTGGAATTACCTGGATTTCTGCTCATCTCATCTAAGTCACAACAATATGCAAACACAGTCTTCTTAAACTAATACCACACAAACAATTATATGTTTTCACTGAATACACTGTGTAAATATTCACAGTGCACAGTACTTTTGTAAGGGGTGGTGATGGCGCATAGATAAGATGTCCACCTTTGGTGTGGGAGACCTGGGTTTGAATCCCACTGTGAGACTTCCACCATTGTGTACCTGAGCAAGACACTTCACCCCTAGTTGCTCCAGAGGTGTGTGACCTCTGACATGTATAGCAATTGTAAGTCGCTTTGGATAAAAGCGTCAGCTAAATGTAAATGTAACCCTTTCCAGCTACATGCAAGTCAACAATTCTTAATCTTAGGTCTTCTGGGGGCTCTTTTGTTCAAGGCATGGTTCACATCAGGCAATGACTCGTGACTCGTGTGTTTTTTAGCACCTCCAATCTCATCTCATTGATTGGACTACAGGTTGGCTGACTCCTGACTCCAATTAGCATTTGGAGAAGTCATTAGTCTAGGAATTCACATACTTTTCATCCTTCACTGTGAATGTTTACACGGTGTGTAAGAAGACATACTTAAATATGCAGAAATAGATGATATAGTGAAAATATACAGTTTGTCTTCTGTCTATGACATCTGAATGCAGCATTTAAGTGTCATTTGCCAGCCTTCTAGTGGTATTTATTAGATAAATATTTATCAGATAAAACAATAGATATGCAGCTATTCTTGTTACTTATCTACAACTGTATGTTTAGTGGTAGGTAGGCACTTTGTTATACAAAGACTTTTAGTCCCAAGTTGAGCCTACAAAGCAATCCTGCATTATTCCTGCACTCCTAACCCATGTAACCATAACCTTAACCATCTATAACGTTATGCATTTATTAGCAAAGTTTGAGTCAGTCCTTAGTCTGGGAGAAAGCTGCAGCTATGAAAGTTACAGCTCAGGGCACAAATGCCCAGTATTGTTGATTGTGAGCCTTCAGCTGTTCAGGTGTCATATTGCGCTCTCTAGTGGTCATGTTGGGCCACAACAAAACACGAAGAGACTGTGCTCTTTCATTTTAAGCCAGCTGTGTGTGAAGTTTGAGGCATTTCCCACCTTTTATATTCTCAGTTGCTGAAAAAAGACTTTATCCTCTTTTTATTCAGGAATCTGGACGTTTACTCTTGGTGTCATGGGAAATCGGGGGAGCTGAAGCTTTTGTCAAAATTACAATTGCTATACATGTCAGTGGTCACACGCATCTGGGGCAACTAGTGGTTAAGTGTCTTGCTCAGGGACACATTGGTGGATGTGTCACAGTGGAGAATTGTCTCCCACACCTATGTGTCTTATCAAATGCACCATCGCCACCCCATCCAACTTGAGCAGGACCAAATTACTTTTGCTGCTCACTACTCTCACAACAAGAATATAGAAAACTACTTGTGGTAAAATGTCTGAACATATGAGACACAAAGAATAAAAATACAGAAGAATAACATGTTGGCTCAAAATTGATGATGGAAAAGGATAGGTTCACAATTTTTCAAGTCTATCGTCAATCAATAGTTATATAATAGTGTCTGCGTTTTTTCTGTGTGAGACTGAAAACAAGAAAACTGCAGAATTGAGTTTTGTAATTTGAGCTTACACAAAGCAAAATGTTGTTCTTTTAGTTACTTCTTCTTTAGTTTGTGATGATGGGCACTGCCTGTCACTTTGACACAGAGACGTGTTTGTTATGGTGAGATCCAACTCACATTGCGTTTTTTGTTATCTACAGTAAAAAGTAAATACATCACAGAAACTCTGGATGATACTGCTATGGCTTTTCCTTAACTATAGACGTGCCTTTCAGAGATTCGGGAGCCTCATTTATAAATGGTGCGAATGCACAAAGGACGGCGTACGGCAGGTTAGAACAGTCTGAACCTGCCATATGACCTATTTATTTGGAGTAACATCTAATGACACCTTTTTGTCTATATTACAATTTAATTATCTTGTCGCTAGTGATTAATGCTGGATAGCTTCACTTTTAACTGCATAATGGAACTGAATAATAACCTTAGTGCTTTTCTGCAGTAATGATTGGCTGGCTGTATGTGATTTCATTACACACATTTAGCAAATATTATTATAGTCTTTTGTTGCAGATATGTTTTTTAGTCAAGATGGAAGTCCAACTGTGTTGCCCAAACAGGGCGGAGTGCCAACACATTTCGATGGGTCAGAGAACACACCTCACCTCACTCTCAGCCAACTGGATGTACAGAAACTGAACTCCACTGTGGTAACAACCTCTTCACTACATTGTTGTCACTAAAAGACAAATAAACAATTAAATACACATTAAAAACTCAGTAAATTTGCTCAACCTGCCACTGGGTGTCAGTACTGTTGTAATGATTTGTCTGCTTGAACTAACACCATTTTTTTGATGATGAAATGTCATCAGCACAATCACTGTGCTGATGACATTAATGTCTGGCAGCAAGTGCATTAAATTTAACCCTATAATTGAAAACATGGCTATAACACACAATGGTAAAAAAAATATCTCTGTAATCAGAAATTTAGCAAAATAGACTGTGGCAGGTCCAAGTTTAGTTTTTTATTTCTGCCTTAAAGACGCAGTAAAATTTTATTATACAGAAATAAAGTAATACTTAAAAAAAAAAACCCAACATAGTTAGAATTTGAAATAAATGAACAAATAACACAGGGACAGGATTAGAAATTGGAAAACATTTTGCTGTGTCTTTGAGTATTTTTCTTTTTCAAAATGCCTCTTGTCTCTTCCTGTAAAATGTAAATATATTTAGACTAATCCTGAACTCTGGCGCAGTTACATACATGTATCCAATCACACCCACACCCGTCCAATAAAACTGCACTAGACCATAGCTCGTAGAACAAATAGTCTAATGCTAGGTTTGTACTTACAGTGGATAGATCAGAACTAAGTGTATTTTAACGTAGGTAATATCCAACTCTAAAATATTCTATCCTTTTTGTAAATTTGGATTTTTTTTATCCTCTTAAGTATTAAATAACTAATTATCTCTGTGATAACAGCAAGCATACAACAATACAGATCTAACATAAGACATTCATTCATCTAACAATCATTGTTCTGTACGATAGACGCCTCCTGTACAAAAACCTGTCAGACCTACCCCCTGCAGTTTGAGCCTGTTTGTGTGAGAGTCTGGTTTTGTCAATGGGAGGAGCTACGAGAACACTGTACACTATGCAAGAGTTCGACAGGAATGACTCTCACCATCTACCCTTCATTAACCTGGCAGAAACAAAGTGAGACTATTTGGTAATGTGCATTCAAAGGTAAGCCAAATCACACTTTTTTCAATATCGTAAATTACTAATTGGTGTATTATTGATATCGATTTTAGAAATGGGAAGTTCCTGACTTACATATTCTAGTTTTTTACATGTTGTTAGAGTTTCCAGTTAGTAATTCCCTTTTAGCGTGAAAAAAGCCTCTGAAAAACCATGTTAACCATCTTAACACTTATGCTAATACATTTTTCTTGCATCACTTATCTTTGGACATTTAATTTTCTGCATCAGTGTTTTCTGAGTTGTTAAGAAGTGACCATTATTATTATGTGTGTGTATTTATTAATCTTTAGCGGTCCGAAATGCAGCACTCTGATCCTTTGTAAATGTTTTCAGATAATGATGTGAGAAAGTTCTGTGTTGGTTAATGAGCTGGTGAAGCTTGAGTCTGATCCCTCTGTCTGTGCAGGTGGGCAGACAAAGTGTCAGGTTTGTTTGGGCTTCTTGGAAATACATGCGAACGCTTTAGCTCACATAAACAAGGTGCTTTGACACCAGCCAGGGGATGACCTGTGTCAGTGCGGCTCATTCAGATTGGATTCAGTTCTCTGGAGAAGGAGTGGTGATTTTAACATAACCATATTTGAATAATCCCGTCTGGAGTGCTTCTAATATCGTGAAGTGTAAGTCACACTGAATGATATCCGTATGTATTTCCTGTTTGTGTGAATTTGAGAAGTGCCATTTTTGACTCAAATTCACCTCACATGGCATCTTTGCCTCCCCTGCAATGCCCTCGCGCCACCTGCAGAGGCTTTTGACTTTGTCTTTTGGGTTTGTCCTGCTGAATGTCATGGCAAAATTCCCAACCTGGCTTTCACCATCTGGCCATCTAATCATCCCCCATAGTAATTAGCTCAATGTGTCCCCCCCTCTCTGCCTCAAGCTGATGTGTGGTGAGCGTTCTGGCGCTAAATGGCTGCCTGCATCACCCAGGTGGGTGCTACACATTGGTGGTGTTTGAGGTGAGTCCCTCCCCCCACTTCACTGTGAAGCGCTTTGAGTTTCCATGATAAAGCGCTATATAAATGTAATGCATTATTATTATTATTATTATTGTCTATTACAGACCATATTCTGTAATTTCCTGATTGTTAAAATGCCGTCTGGAACAATGAGTTTAAAAACACAGTGGACATTTCATTTCCCACCTGCTTATGTAATGTTTCCTTTAGCACTTTGTTTGACATACCTGCAAAGAAAAAGATGATTCAAAAAATGCACCTCAGACAAAGACAGATAAATTATCCATGTTTCTGTTCTGTATTTCTCCTGTGTCTATAGTTTACAATGCTGCATGGCTGCATCCCTGGTGTTCAGACTACATGACAGAGGCCCAGAGCTGGTGAGGGAGGTGCTTCTGGAGCGAGGATGGAAGGAATATGACAAAGGAGAACGGGAGGAGGAAGACTGGAATCTTTACTGGCGGGGCTCTGCATTTCGCAACTCCGAATTCACAAATTGCTGCCATGGCAGCGCCTCAACCACCACCCCAAGACTGTTGGCATCACGCGCAAGGTGATGTTTCGACGTGTGTTAACTTTGTGAATTGCAGAGAGAAAGAAATGCAGAGAGCTCTTGGTGTCATCTGGTAACGAAAATTAGATATAGACACCAAAATAATCCATATGTTTGTCCTTTTTATACGGAAGTACAGCCAAAAAAAAGAATCTGTTCACTAAAATCCTGTGATTTGTTATTGTATTGATGTATAACTGATGTATAACAATCCTGGTTTGGAAACTTAATCTGAGAGCTATTAATTTTACATCTGATTGGGCCAATGAAACTGTACTTTCGCAGCATCTTTTTTGCACCTTCCTTTTATTCTTAACAAAATGTAAACATACCTGTTTTATAATCAAAAATGAGAAAAGGGTGCACCCCAGAACTCACAGATCACATGTTAATCCCAGGTGTTAATGGGGCTTAAGCAAGAATACCACACTAAAAAAGTTTCCAAACAGAAATCAACTAGAAAGAGTGCCTTCACAAAAACGATCACACTAAAAGATTGATTTGTAATTCATTTGGAAGGACTGCCTGGCACGCAACCTGAGGAGAATGAGAGCCACATTCGGTCCAGCTTTCTATGACTTCAGTCCCACCGCTTTCATCCTTCCCAACGATTATACCCGCTTCCTGGCTGAGTACAACAAACTACGTCTGACCAGAGGACTGTCAGCTTACTGGATATGTAAGCCTGTGGATCTCTCCAGAGGCAGAGGGATCTTCATGTTTGAGGACATTAAGGACTTGGTCTACGACTGCTCTGTAATCGTACAGAGGTACATCAGCAACCCACTGCTGATCTCCGGCTACAAGTTTGACCTGAGGATCTATGTGTGTGTGAAGAGCTTTCATCCACTGACCGTTTACATTCATCAGGAAGGCCTGGTGCGTTTCGCCACTGAGAAGTACAACCTGTCGTCTCTGCATAACCTGTATGCTCATCTCACCAACACCAGCATCAATAAGTTCGGTCCTTTCTACAAAACCGAAAAAGAGAGAGTGGGCCAGGGATGCAAGTGGACCATGAGCAAGTTCAGGCATTTTCTCCACAGCCAAAACATCAATGAGCTGCTTTTGTGGCAGAGGATCAACAACATTGTCACTCTGACCCTCCTCACGATCGCTCCCTCCGTCCCCTCCTGTCCAAACTGTGTAGAGCTGTTTGGCTTTGATATCCTTATTGACGGCAAGTTTAAGCCGTGGCTGCTGGAGGTCAACTACAGCCCTGCGTTGACTCTGGACTGCCAAGCAGATATTACAGTGAAGAAAAGGCTAATCAACGATCTGATTGATTTAATGAACTATACATTGATTGACAGCTTGAGGGAGAGGGCTTATCAGAGACATGGGTACAAGCAGCCTTGTTTGCATGCAAACCACCCCTCACATATTTCAATACCTGTGCTGTCAAAGTTTAAAGAAACCAAATTTCCAAAGCAAAGCGGTGTAAGCCAGTCCATGACTCTGCCTCTGCTAAAAACTCTTCGCCTACCTGAAAAGATGAACCAAAGACAGTCCAGACAACATGCTTTTGCAGCAGACTACCACAGACACCTTCCCCCTGTTGACTTAAACAAGCTATATCCCAGTGGCAGAATAGTTAACACCACCGCTACCACAAACCACACCGCCAAGAGCCTAAACTTGATACTCGGCCCACATTCAAGGACAAACGTGTCATTGGTAAACAGACAGACATGTCCAGCTCTTGCGACGTGGCAGAAGGACGGCAGGAGTCTTCATGTGTCTGAGGTTACAAACCGTGACGACACTGAAACAGAAGCCGAGATAGAGCTCTTGGGAGATACAGACGTTTCCTCTTCGATACATGATATCACACAGAAGGGGCTGGGATTCAGACATTCTTCTGTGTCGTCAAAGCTCCCAAACATCTACAGGTATATACAGTACTGCTATGTTTTTTTTTCAAGTTTTTTACATATATATATACAGTGGGTACAGAAAGTATTCAGACCCCTTTAAATTTTTCACTCTTTGTTTCATTGCAGCCATTTTCCAAAAATCAAAAAAGTTAATTTTATTTCTCAGTAATGTACACTCAGCACCCCATCTTGACAGAAAAAAACAGAAATGTAGAAATTTTTGCAAATTTATTAAAAAAGAAAAACTGAAATATCACATGGTCATAAGTATTCAGACCCTTTGCTCAGTATTTAGTAGAAGCACCCTTTTGATCCAATACAGCCATGAGTCGTTTTGGGAAAGATGCAACAAGTTTTTCACATCTGGATTTGGGTATCCTCTGCCATTCCTCCTTGCAGATCCTCTCCAGTTCTGTCAGGTTGGATGGTAAACGTTGGTGGACAGCCATTTTCAGGTCTCTCCAGAGATGCTCAATTGGGTTTAAGTCAGGGCTCTGGCTGGGCCATTCAAGAACAGCCACGGAGTTGTTGTGAAGCCACTCCTTCGTTATTTTAGCGGTGTGCTTAGGGTCATTGTCTTGTTGGAAGGTAAACCTTCGGCCCAGTCTGAGGTCCAGAGCACTCTGGAAAAGGTTTTCGTCCAGGATATCCCTGTACTTGGCCTTCATCTTTCCCTCGATTGCAACCAGTCGTCCTGTCCCTGCAGCTGAAAAACACCCCCACAGCATGATGCTGCCACCACCGTGCTTCACTGTTGAGACTGTATTGGACAGGTGATGAGCAGTGCCTGGTTTTCTCCACACATACCGCTTAGAATTAAGGCCAAAAAGTTCTATCTTGGTCTCATCAGACCAGAGGATCTTATTTATCACCATCTTGGAGTCCTTCAGGTGTTTTTTAGCAAACTCCATGCGGGCTTTCATGTGTCTTGCACTGAGGAGAGGCTTCCGTTGGGCCACTCTGCCATAAAGCCCCGACTGGTGGATTGCTGCAGTGATGGTTGACTTACTACAACTTTCTCCCATCTCCCGACTGCATCTCTGGAGCACAGCCACAGTGACCTTTGGGTTCTTCTTTACCTCTCTCACCAAGGCTCTTCTCCCCCGATAGCTCAGTTTGGCCGGACGGCCAGCTCTAGGAAGGGTTCTGGTCGTCCCAAACGTCTTCCATTTGAGGATTATGGAGGCCACTGTGCTCTTAGGAACCTTAAGTGCAGCAGAAATTTTTTGTAACCTTGGCCAGATCTGTGCCTTGCCACAATTCTGTCTCTGAGCTCTTCAGGCAGTTCCTTTGACCTCACGATTCTCATTTGCTCTGACATGCACTGTGAGCTGTAAGGTCTTATATAGACAGGTGTGGCTTTCCTAATCAAGTCCAATCAGTATAATCAAACACAGCTGGACTCAAATGAAGGTGTAGAACCATCTCAAGGATGATCAGAAGAAATAGACAGCACCTGAGTTAAATATGAGTGTCACGGCAAAGGGTCTGAATACTTATGACCATGTGATATTTCAGTTTTTCTTTTTTAATAAATTTGCAAAAATTTCTACATTTCTGTTTTTTTCCGTCAAGATGGGGAGCTGAGTGTACATTACTGAGAAATAAAATGAACTTTTTTGATTTTTGGAAAATGGCTGCAATGAAACAAAGAGTGAAAATTTAAAGGGGTCTGAATACTTTCCGTACCCACTGTATATATATATATATATATATATAACCAAAAAACCAATGCATTGTTTTTTTTTGAAAATGTGCAATCTAGGTCAAATTGTTCACCATGTGTTTGGTAAATTATTTACAGGTTACATAATGTAGCGGGATCACTTTAAGTCACAGTAAAACATGTTTAGCTTCAGTAATGAGACATATTTTTCCAAGTGGAAATGGGATATGTGAGCAATATTTACTTACAAATGGAATTTAAATCAAATCCTACTGTTTATTGCTCTAAGCCACGCTCACTCGAAAGTGAGAGGATACAGCGTGACACATAGCTGAAGAGAGAGAGATTAAGCGGCAGGACTGTTGGCCTTCACCCCTCTTAGTCCCGTTAAGAGAGTTGAAGTAAAACCAAAACATCCTGCTTCTGTTCCAAATGTAAGAAAACCTCATTCAAAATCCCATTGTCATTTTGCTAAAAACTAAAAACACAGCCGTGGAACAGAGCCTTTTTCAACAGGATCTCCTGTGGCTTGATTTATGTCAATGGTAGTTTAGAATGGTAGTTTCTTTAAGTATCTAATATCGTTGTTTATTCAATAATTATGCTATTTAAAAAACACTATTTCCCCTTTCAACTTTTTAGACAGCAGAGATTACAACTTTAAAGTTAAAAAAGTACAAGAGCCTTGATAAGTTTTATGTAAGTGGATGAAAGCAAGGTGATGAGGTTAAATAGCTGCATCTTGTCAAAGAGGGGTACTGCTTTCAAATACCATTCATATAACATAATAATCAAATGTTGTGATTGTTTCACAGTGGGAATCACAAGCCAGCACTGAATGGACAACATGTTCCTCCACTCAGAGTTGGAGATTTCATTCGGACATTCCCATTTAATGCAGCCACTCTGAGGGCCTCGCAGCATGAACTGGATGTGAAGATAGTCATCCAAGAGCTTCACAAGCTGACGCACACTTTGGCCACATCAGATGAGAAGTCTAGGAGAGACAAGGAGGAGGGGAAGAAGGACATAAAAGGTGAAGAAGACTTTGATTCACTGTTGTGGGGGCCACAGGATCCTCCATTGCTCAGTCGATGATTCAAACCCACTTAGAGTGGAGTTCCTTTTTTTCAATTTTTTTCTTTCCGGATTTCTTGCTAAGCCCTGACTTGTTTTGAAATGTAAGACACATCACTTCTGTATGCCAAGGGATATTCCCAGCACAGTGGAAAAGAGGTCACAATTAAATTGAATAACTGATGTGTATTATCTCTTGTCAATCATTTTTAATACTCAGTTGTATTACTTTTAACAAACCACTTTTTTCTTGTGAAGAGTAGATAAATAGAGAAAACAAACATTTACTGTCAGTAGGAGTAACAGAATTCTTCAAGATAAAATAAAACAAAAATTTTTTACACCATCTTGCTGATGCTGGTAAACCGATGCAGGGTTTAGTTAGGGCTGGTGCAGATTACAAGGCTTTTACCACAATTTGACAGTCTCAGACTTTTAATTCATTGATACTGAGAGTTGAGACTAAAACCCTGACGTTGGCACAGAATCCACGCCCGTGCAAAATGAGACAACAGTTTGGGACAAATAAAATGTCTTGTGGTGTGAGCAGCACAGCAACACTGATATTTTCAAAGAGTTTATCAGATAACTCATTAAGATCAATGACAGTTGTTGGCTCAGGATCAGAGTAGAATATAAAAAATATACCTATCTGAAAGGATAAAGAGGCATTTTAAAGATCAAAAAAGTTCTCTACCTTTTAAAAAGATATAATAAATAAATAGTTAAACAAATTGTTGAGTGTACAACGTGAAGACATCTCTAATCCACTATCTGTGATCACTACTGTACTGGTGCCTATTTCAAACATAAATTAAAGTTATTCCCTCCCAGATCTACTTCCCCAAACACATACACACACAAACAAAACTCCCTGTCTTATACTTACATATAAGAACACACACACATTCATTTAAGATGTCTGATGGTTACTTTGTCCTTGATGCGTACTCTGCCTGACGCGTACTTGGTTTCCTGTCGTCCGTCGGGGTAGATGGTCTTAACCGTCCCATCAGGATCCTCTCTCCTCTTGTACTGGGAAGTGTGGATCTCTCGCTGTCCGTTGGGGAAATCGACCATCTTCTCACCTGATCTGAAAGAGATGATGAGGCAGAATTCACACGGAAATTTTCCATCTCAAGTAACTACAAATTCATAAAGCGATACTAAATCCCATCTAGACATAATGCTCATTCAATTGTGTCTGCCTTTACCAACTTAATCCATCGACAATATTTCACTTAGAGTAAACCTCATAGTTTACAGAACATGATACTGTCAGACAGAGTGGAATAAGATGATTTTTCCAAGCGTCTGTCCTCCTACTGGTTACCTCATGGTGTACAAATATTGTTTATTTATTTATGAGGATATCTGTTAGCTTCCAACTTAATGACAGCTAGTCGTCCTTGGTCCCACTGTCTTTCTGACACTGGAGACACCCTGAAGCTAAACCTGAAATGTGGAAGCGACTTTAGTCTCACGGTGAAAGGTGAACGATGGTGCCATCGGGAAGATTGTCCTCTCGCTGCCGTCAGCCTCCAAAAACTTGATGGTCTGGTCTGGAAATAAGATCTCTCTTTTCCCCCCAGGGTGTCGCTTCTCTGTTATGGATGGAGAAACAATGTACTGGAAGCTGTAGTCATATACTAGAGAGTCCATTTTCCATTAGAGATGTTCAAAGGGTAAAAACATTTGTTCAAACTGAGTTTAAGTTTGTCAATACATCAGGCCACTGTACTGAGCGTTCATTTAAAAACACTATCTGGGTTTTGGGTAGTTGTATGATAGACATTAGATAATATTTGTTGATGTTTGTATTGCATTATTATTCAATAAGACTCTGGTTGCCTATGGGAACTCCTTCACATGAAATGAATACAATGAGGTTTATAATGAGAATTTAATCAAGTATGAGTGAAAGTATTTATAAATACTCTTGTGCAGAATTTCAGTTGTCTATCAGGTATCAAGTGCTTTTTCAGTATTTTCTTTTTTAAAGAAAAATATTCTGGGAATACAATGCTCAGCCCATCCTAATATACTGTTCCACCTGCTTCTTTAACATCCGTTACTAATCGGGCCAAACTTACACCCATAACTAACACCTCCACCACGATAATTGGTCTCCCCAAACCCAACCTAGCAGAATTAAACAACCTCAATATCACAGGAGATAACCACTCAATCAATCTCACCTCACTGCCCTCTTTGCGCAGCTACAGAGCACTGAGATGCAGGGGGGGTCGCTTTAAGAAAAGCCTAATCCCCTCAGGGGTAGCCACCTTAAAGAAAAGGCCTGAGTGCCTGAGTGTACGCTGTACAGTGCTGTGAAAACAAATTTTCCCTTGGGGACAATAGAGTCTAATATTTTGTTATCAGACTGTGTTAAAAACAGCAGATTTAAACCTGCAATAACTGATTTGTTTTGCCACTGGGGGGCAAAAACAACTTTGACTTTTCATCCCTTTTAAGGTGATATGGTGAACTAATTAACAAACACTTGCTTTTTTACTGATTCAGCAGTTATGGAGCAACAATCATTTATTTGGAGTGTTTCTGTCCACCTGATGAATGCAATTCCAATATTCACTCTCCTCTGTTTTTAGTTGCTGCCAACTCCTGAGGGATATATCCGGTTCTTAGCTGCATAATGACCCACTATGTTCACCAGCTAGTCGTTAATTGTGTCAGGCCAGCTACCTGCTGCTGAGAGCGATGACAGTAAACCAAAAGAGTAAAGTTGTGGGCCAGACAGTTAAACAATGAGCTGAATCGCAAATTGTTTTTACATTGTTTTCAGTTTCAAATTGTCATTTGATACGTTGTTATTATAAAAATATAAATTGTGTAAACTTTAAAGATGAGAAATATATACTATAAATCATATACAATATAAAACTCAAAACATAACAGTACCCTGACTCATGTGCATCTCTTACCAATCTGCCTGTTGGGGAAGTGAAGGATCTCCAGACCACTTGGGTAGGTGGTATGTGTTGTCTGTGAACCAGCATAGTAATACACCTGTAACACACATGTTCACGATCTTAGTGGTGAAAAATAAAGACACCAATATTACCATCATTGTTCGACAAGCGTAATTAGCAGCGCAAAAATACAACCTACAATACGTTTTTAAACATACATAAAGGTAAGAAGTACAGGAGCTCACCACTTTCCCATCTTCCAAAATGTGTTTGATGTCTCCATTGAAGAATGTGACTGTTTTTGCCTTCTGGTCTGCAGAAATTACTTTCTTTGTCCCGTTAGTGAAAGTCTCCAGGCTGCACCCGTCTGAGAGAAGATGTTCCATCTCGGAAGAGCGGTACAAAATTGTCAACAGTTTTCGATTGAAAGTTTCTGGTGATTCAGACTAATTTCTACAAGCTACATAAACAGGTGAAGATGTGTTTAAGTGCCTTTTTCAGTATTATTCTGAGGAAATTGTACATTTTAAATGGAGAAATGAAGTTTGAAGATATTTTGTTTGTGTATTTTGTGTTATTTTGCGTTTACTGTCCTTAATATATTCTTTATATAACACATCAGCTTGGAATTCACTTTGGACAACAACACACTTTGCTATGAAATATTATCCCCCTGACAGAGCTCAACTACTTAACTTAACCTGTTGTTTTGACACAACCCTTTAAGTTGTGATGGTAAAATCAAGTTTGGGCAGTGACAGACCTGGCACGGGGAGCTTATCGACTTTCACTGCACAAACATGTAATGAGGTCAGCCAGTGCTTTGACACCATCTTTTGTCTTTCCTCATAAATTATTGTCGGGGTGCTTAAAAGACCACTTACCAGAGTATTATATATTTGAATAATTTGATACCAAAAGGATTTACAAAGGTGAACTCTCGAATTTCTGTAGAGTTGTAAAGTGTGAAACAGACACTAATAACAGGTACTCTACTGTAAGATATACTCTTAGAATTAATCATTAAAAGTGCTGATTATTTTAGTTAATCTTCTGTGTTTGGGTCTAACAACAATATAATTAATTCTCATTGGTGCTGATGTCATGGATCAACAAGTCAGTCTAAACTTTTTAGCAAAGTGAACTAGCACCTTGTATCGATCTCAAGTGTTGCTCTCACCCTTTACTGGCTGCTCTCTCCAGTAATTATTAAAGGGTTGCTACATGGAGATCGATTACATTGATTGCACTCCTCCACAACAAAAGCTTGCGACATTGCAATATCTGCTTTCATGAAACCACACTGAAAGAGACAAAATTATACTGAAAAATGTTGTTTGACAAACTATTAATAAGGTTAAAATAAGGGGAATTCCATGTTTATAGGATTAATATGATTTGTGACTTGAAGAGGAGAAGATTATACAGAATATTTTACCTCTGTCCGTCCCTCCTGGTATGCAGTGTGGGCTTGTGCAGTACATTGGCCGTCCACTGGGCGGCACTGTGGTGTAACTGTGAGTTTCTTCCTCAGCTCAGAGTTTTCTCTGATCAGCTGGTCCAGCTGGCATCGAACTACAGACCACTCACCCTCTCTCTGCTTAAACTGCTGCTGAAGGGCCTCCATCTGCTGCTTGAGGGCCTGCACACACACACACACACACACACACACACACAAACAGTCAGAATAAAAATATACAATGTGACCCTTTTCAAAAGCATGCAGCTCTGTATGTGACTCATGTGCTGACTCAGTGGGAATATATTTGTAAATGTGTACACAGATTTACACCATGATGTGTTAACGGCTCTGCATTACACATGATGACAAGAGTCTCAATCAGAAACCAGGCAATAGCTTCAAGATAATTTGAGTCAAAACAAAACTGTGGTGTGTCATCCCAAACCGTCCATGTACGGGTAAACTGAAGTTTCCCAAACTACTCATTTGTCTAATCACGTGATCAGACAATCAAATATTCAAACGACAGAGCATGCAGCATATAATTCATAGTATCCAGCAATGCTGGCATTTTAAAAGAGAGAATATAAATAAAAATATAATTAGCTGCAGCGCTACTAACCTAATTAATCAGAGTGAAAATATAGTTATATGATTTAGTCACTTTGACTGAGACACTGTTGTTGCTGTAATAGAGACGTGTTTATGGTTATTTTTGAGAATGCAGTTTGTGGTGCTGTTGAACTGTATTGTGGTATACAGAGAAATGTTTATTTTATTTAGCCTATCTTCA